AGATGGTTGTAATTTGCTGGGACCCGTGGTTGGTAAATTCTGTATGGAGTTAGCCATTAAGAAAGCTAAAGAAGCTGGTATTGGATGGGTTGTAGCAAAAGGTAGGTGTTTAGGGTGCATAGATGTTAAAAATATTACATTTCATGCTTGCAAATTAAAATTTATATTTATTAATAAATAAATAAATAAATAAAGAAATAAATAAATAAATAAATAAATAAATAAATAAATAAATAAATAAATAAATAAATAAATAAATAAATAAATAAATAAATAAATAAATAAATAAATAAATAAATAAATAAATAAAGAAAGAAAGAAAGAAAGAAAGAAAGAAAGAAAGAAAGAAAGAAAGAAAGAAAGAAAGAAAGATCTTTTCAAAGTGGCATTTAATGTGAATGTTAAAAACAATCCTCAAATTGCTCTACCTGAAGTTCCTGCAATTGTGTATCTTGATTGAGTGCTAAGTTTGGTGTTTGACCACTTTTTTTTTGCAAAACATAGTTTAATGACTATGACCTTTTTTATCTGGATTTTGTGAGCTTCAGCAAAAATACATTATTGTAAACATGAAGTAATTCAGGCAATATTTTGTAATGGTAACCAACTACATTAAAAGGATCCTCCGGATTTTTTGTCTATACCAATATGTATGACCAGACCCAATATTTTTGTCACTTCCTGCTCTATTTCTAATAATCAATAATTTACATAAATTTAAATTTTCATCATGACTTTTCTCCAAATTAGGCAGTAATCACTATAGTATTGCTGGATATTACAGTCTAATGGCTGTAGAGAATGGTCTAATTGGTATGTCTTTTACTAATACATCACCACTAGTTGTACCTACCAGGGCAAGAAAGGTTAGTAAACATCACCGATTATAAATGAATGCTAGCTGAAATGAAGGTGTTATGGAACCCCAAACTATACACTGTAATAATGTTTCAATGGTGAATTGATGAATATATAAAATAAAAGTGAAGTTTATTTAGAATACCATATTTGCTTTAGTTAGTAATAACTTATAAATTACAGGTGTTTTATGTTGAAAATAACTCAATATTTCAATGATTTGGTATATTAAAATGTTTTTGGTTTATTGGAGATACACTTCTACAAAATACACAGATTCTCACCCATTGATACTGTTTATATCTTTATATATCTATATTAGAGCATAAATGTAATAACATGTCATTATATTTTCTGCAGTGTGTGTTGGGTACTAACCCTATAACTTGTGCAGCTCCAGCCAAGGATGGGGATAGTTTTGTACTGGATATGGCAACCTCTGCAGTAGCTTTAGGAAAGGTAACTTTAAATTAGATTTTAACTTCATAGTTAATATGCAGATAGTTGTTTCAATTTTGATTGGATCATCTGATTTTAATTTCATGAATGGCAAATCATTTCACATATTCCTGTTATCACTCTCGAAGTAACGAGATCTGAGTGAAAACTGAAATGCAATAATTTGTTGGTAATTGATAAAAATGTGGAATTAGTTTTCTCTGTATTAATTTACTGTTTTTTAATTGTAATATGTGAATATGTAAATAGCAATTATTTTTTTGTAAAACTAGATCAGTGGGTACCCAATCTTGCCTTCACTCTCTATAAGTGTGACCATCATTATTATTGATTATTGATGACAATTTAAATTGTTGACTGTATTTTTGCTCTAACATACACTGGTAAATGTTATAATGCATCTTTTTCTGATTCAGATAGAAATCCAAAACAGGAAGGAACTACCAGTTCCACATGGATGGGGTGTGGATTCCAAAGGCAAGGTGAGTATTACTCAGTTCCATCAATGTTAGATAGCGCCCTCTAGTATGTATTCAACCCATCAATATGTTACTGGTAGGGCACATGCGTATGGAACTGCTGTTTTGCAAGATGGCTATCAAATTTGCTTCCTAATTAGCAAACTAGCTAACTAATTTTTAATGGTTTCGGTGTTGTTCGAACATTATCTGAGAGGCGCAAGAACACGCATAAATAAACATAATAAATGCATATTGTGAGTGTACACAATCCACGTAGTAAGTCACATAATAAACTATTTATTTAAAATGGAAAGGATTTATATGTCAAGTTGTAGTAAAAATACATAAATCTGTGCTCTTTGTGAAAATGGAACAAATCAACAATCTGAATGCGGGTTGAGGAATCCCTGAAATTCATAATATAAACTTCTATTCAGTAGTTCTAGGCAGGCTTCTAGTTCAAAACAAATCACTGAAAATGGACTGGTGTACAGAATAGGGGTGCACGGCGGCATTATGGTCTTGTCTGTACACCAATGCTACTGTGTGTACTGACAGACAAAGAACTATCAAGACCCAAAACGCCACAGACCATAGCTATATGAAACGTAGCATGCCTCTTTTTTTTATATTTCACTATAAACTGAATCATGACTAATAATTTCATAACTTCATCCTAGAGTTTGTTCATGTTTCATGCTTGACAGAGAGTCTAGACTTGGGCATACTATTTATAGCATAGGGTTAAAAGGTGCAACTGTATATATACAGTATATGAGAATTACTTTTCTTTGGACTTACTGCTAAAGTAAATAATAACTGTTGACTTGGCCAGAATTTCTGTACATTTTTCTTCTGTTTATAGTTAATATAAAAAATAAAGCGATATTTTTGCAAGCCTAAGGTGAGGAGTGGCATGAAATCCTACATTTAAATGGGACACCCCAAGTTGTTCAGATTAACATCTCAGTCTGTATTTTCATAGCCATGGCTGTTTTGCACATTAGGTAGCAAATTTAATAGCCATCTTTCATAACTGCAGTTCCATGCATGTGTGCCCCATAAGTCACAGTCTGTGGTTTCCAAACATTAAATTGTATATATTAATTGGTGTTGTATTACATGTCGCACTTCTGCCTGAATTGTGTATACCATATTTGCTCTATCAGATGCTCATTGCATTTATTAGTCCCCGTTTGAACCAAGTTCCCCGTGTTCCTAGTACTTTATTTTGGATCATAGGCACATGTAGTGGTTTACTGATTCAATCTAAGATGGCTGATTGGCAGTCATTTTGTTTTTTGAAAATGTGGTATTTATGCATGCTTAGTCAGTTTTTGTTCAAATTTGGTACATATATTATATATGTTAGGATATATGTCTATGACAATTTTTTTTTGACCGGATCAAAGATGGACAACTGACAGCCATTTTGTTTTTCTAAAATGTGGTATCTTATGCATGCTTTGTCAGTTTTTGTTCAAATTTTGATATATACCAGTACATTGTACATTTTAGATTAAATGTCCATGGCAATTTGTATTAAAGTTGGAATGAACAACTGGCAGCCATCTTATTTTTTTCAAAATGTGTTGTTTTTCTCTTCAAATTATAAATGTTAGGATCCATGTCCATGACAATAGTTTTATAATCAGATCAAAGATGGTTGACTGTCTGCAATCATGCTATTTGACTACTATAATTGGACAAAAGCAATTCAGTTTTGATACCAAAAATGCATAAATAGCATATCTTGTTAAATTTCTGATCATATATTTCGATTTTGGAAGAGTAATTTTATTTCTGTTGATACTAGACCAGCCAATTATTCACTTTCAATTACTAACTATGCTTTTGGTTCATATTACTTCATTTTTGGCATGAATAACATTCCCCCTAATTCCATCGGGGACTATTTCATTAACAATAACTTGTTTTATTCAAATCATTATCATCAAGTATAATTATTTTGATCTTAAACATACTTCTGTCATCCTTGTAAATGTACATTCTTCTAAAATCTAACTAAACACTGGATGCGATTGGTGTTTAACTGCAGGTGGCTACAGATCCCAAAGCTATCCTAGATGAAGGTGGTCAATTACCACTTGGGGGTACAGAGGAAACGTCTGGATACAAGGTATGTACATAAGGGTACTTTGATGGGTGATTTCATTGAGTGTAGGGTGGAATACAAGGTACCTACACGAAGACACTCTTGATACTCACATGCAAAACACCTTTGCTCCTTTTTTGTCTGTGGGATAGTGTGGCTGGCGAATATGAGCTATGCCTGTTTGGCTTTAAAATTTATCAACTGTGCTATAATATATAATATATATCTATACATATTTTTAGGATCTAAGTTAATGCTTTGATATTAAAGTGGTCAAAGTAGTAACTGTTATATATTCCTTTGAATTTAGGTGATCCATTAATTTATTCAATAAATAAGTGTGAGGTCACATGTTTTTACATGGTTTTATTAGGGATATGGTCTTGGTATGATGGTTGAAATGTTTTGTGGTATTATGGGAAATGCAGAATTTGGTCCAAATATTAGAAAATGGAGAGACGCTGATAGAATTGCCAATTTAGTAAGTAATATTTAATTAATATTGGTAAATATATTGCATGTCAACATTTATTTTCAATTTCTTAATGCTTAATTGTATCCTATAGTTTTGAGATAAGCATTTAATTGTTTACTTTGAAGTATTTGTTGAAGATTGGTGTTCAAATTTCATGTATACAAACATTTATTAGTTCATGAAATATGCAAGAAGTACAAATATAATCGCATGATTGCATCACACATGATTGAACCTATGCTATTGACATAAGCTTGTTCTATGTATATTCCACAGGGTCAGTGTTTTGTTGCCATTGATCCAGAATCGTTTGCACCAGGCTTTACAGATAGAATGCAATCGTTAATTGATATTTGTAGAGGACAACAACCGGTAAGTTTTTGCATGTCTAATTAGAGCAGATACTGTAACACAAATGTCATTGATCTAAAAAAATTGCAGCTTGTTTATCTCTTATTAGTACTTGTTTGAATAAAGTTTGAAACGGAGACTTATATTTCGGTCTCTGTCCATCCGCCTGTCCATCCATTCGTCTGGATTCATTTTTCAGAGTCCTGGCAAATTTGGGACATACATTATACATATTAGGTTTCAGTCATGTCATTGACGAAATACTTTCGCAATCTGATCAAAGATGGCAGACTGGCATCTATTTTGTTTTTTGAAAATGTGATATCTTATAATGCATGCTTTGTCAGTTTCACACACACACACACACACACACACACACCATAAATTACAATTTTTGAAGAGTCATTTAATACATCTAAATTCTTTTGATACTAGACCAGCCAATTATTCACTAATTAAAATTATTGAATATGCTTTTTGTCCATATTACTTTATTTTTGGCATGAATAACATTCCTCCTAATTCCAACAAGGACTAGGTCATCAACAATGACTTGTTTTATAGGCAGAAGGTGAAAGTGAAGTACTTGTTGCAGGAGATCCAGAAAGGAAACATATGAAGAAAGTTGATCATGAAGGACTAAAATACCATAGAAATCTTATTGATGCATTGGTAAGTATGTGAATTAAGCAAGACGCTTTTCAAAAACTGATGTAAAAATGTCTAGTTACTAAATTACTGGATGTAATTAAAACTAATATTTAAATATATTATGGTTCATTTTTTTTTCTCAGATAGAAGGATTATTGTTTGTAAGGACAATTAACACAATTATACAGTCTCCCAACAGTACACAGGGAAATGGCACAATTAACAAACTTACGCAACACCAAAAAACAAACAAATATTGGACCTCCATGGTGGAGGTAATATATGTACTTGACGAACCAAATAATTATGTCAACTATTATCAGTATAGCAGAGAAATGTTACCATTACCATGAGTATAGAATTTTAGTAATATGTTGACATTTATCAAACATTAGGATTAGGATCAAATACTCTACTACTGTTTTAATGCACAATTCATACATTTTGTTCATTTTTAGGAAAAACTGGCAGAAGAACTTAAAGTTGACAAAATGAAGATAAAATAATCTTCTAAAGACCAAAAGCCACTTTCCTTTATTCGCAAACATGTAGAGAATCTGTGATAATCTTTGAATAAGACCATGCAATACAAATGTAAATACATTTTGTTTGTCATTGTTTACAAACAAGCATCTACCCATGAGCTTTTGCGTTTTTAGCGTGTGTTATCGTCGCTTGGGACTCAATTCCCGTGTGTGTGCAGGTGACGACACTCTCGCTTTAAGACCCATTCGACAAACATTCCTTGTTGCTTTATTTTTGTCTGGATATTTCAAAAAAGAATTCTGATTTCACTGACCATATTGGTGTATAGTTGTACTCACTAGACTACAATCAGTCTTGCTGATGGTAGTTGTAACGAGTTATTCTGGCAATAACAGTAACACACTTTTCTTTTTGGTTAGTTTCTGGGCGAAATATACTATCAAGTGTGGAGTGAATTCAGTATTGTTTGATGGTTAGTGAATGTCTAACAAGCATATCTGTCTGGATAAATTCATTCTAAACTATTGATACACCAAGTTTCAATCCACTTCTCAAACTGTTAGGATATAAAATATTACAAGCTATAATGTTAATTGGTACGCAGATTAATTATCTAATTATTAATATTATGCACAAGATGATAACATATATTTTCCATGCAAACAGCAATTTGATGTAAATAAACAATCTGTTGTATACGCCACTTGGGACTCAAGTTTCAAGGACACGCTCGCGACAACCCCTCCACTTTATTATGACGAGCACAAAGAGAACTTTCAAAAATTTAAAGGGGACTGTGTCATTTTCAATGACTTTTTAGTCCCCGTTCGGACGTAGTCCGAAAACGGGGACTTATGTTTTGCCCTGTGTGCGTGCGTGCGTGCGTTCGTCCGTGATCACCTGTATCTCGAACATGCATGGACCGATTAAGTTCAAACTTCACTCATACATCACACATTATATGGGACATATGCACATGCATTTTTTTCATGATCCGATTAACGATAGCCGAATAGCGGCCATTTTAAGGCCGAAAATGCATCAAAATTGCACATTTTCACTATTACGGACCCGGATCTCAGTTATGCATGGACGGATTTTGTTTAAATTTGGTACATACATTAAACATAATAGGACCTTGATGCACGTCATTTTTTTTCCGGATCAAGTTCGAAATGACCGACTGGCAGCCATTTTGTTTTAAAAAATTCAGTTCTTGATCCGTATCTGAGACATGCCTGGATTGATCGAGTTCAAACTTCACACACACAAGGTACATCATGTCACAAATATGTATGTGCATTTGTTTCATGATCTCATTAACGATAGCCAAATTGC